CGCATCCACGGCACTTTCGGCCTCACGGAGACAAGACTTGCTTACAATGCCGTGAGAAGAAAAGTAGGGGAAAAAAACTTCTTTGCCAGATTCCTATCGCTTACTCTAGCAACCACCATTTCGGGCTCGGCCCAGTGCATAAACCCGCGGCGTGGAGGTTGAGGATGACAGATGACTCGGCATTGCCATGTAACTCGTTCCGCGCGTGAGGGTACCGAGAAATTTACGGGTAGATCCAATTGCAATTACAGGTCAGTCAGCGCCGGTTTTAGCTTCGGGTCTAGCACTAGCACCCTACTGTAGCCCTAGGACATGGGGCTTCGCTGATTCAAGCATGGCACGCCATGAGTAACGGGCCTGGTAGTGGCATGTGGATGCACATGTGGATGTAAGAGCCTCCAAGGGCGCAAAGTCCGAGTAATTGATTCCGTCACGATTTTTTAATGTATGGCTCTCAGAATTTTGAAAATTTCAGAATATCTCAAAATTGGTACAGAGTTTTACTGGAGGGTCAATGTGTCAAGTCGATCAATTACACTCAGCCACGAAGACAGTACCACGTCAAAGAAGACGCCACAGACACACGTCTAAAGCCAAGGCCTTATTGCCGTCAGACGTTCAGGCCGCAAGCTTGGTTTCGCCCAGAAGCGCCCAAACAAGCAAGGGATGATTGCCGTTTGCCGTCTGGGCATGCCTCTATGTACGTACCGCCAGAAGTACCAGATACGTCAACGTGTGATACAAATTTAGGACAAGGCGTTAATTCCTTATTCCGTGACATCAGAAGGGTCGCTGTAGATTTTCACAGCGCCAGTCTCTCTTCAGGCTCTCCCGCCCCCGGATGCGCGGGGCCGCACGGAGCTGGTGATTGGAGCTCGGTGGAGATGCTCCGGAATTGGCTTGATGATACAGCCAAGACTAATGACATATCCTAAACCCATCGGCGATTGACGACTATCAAACCGTTGATTTTCATGTTTCAGTGTCCTTGTGTCCGTTTTATAACCTGTATTTCTGAATATTATTTCATCCAAGACTCTGTAATGGCTACAACCTGCCTACTGACCTATGGATGGTGAGTATGGTAGAATCAGGGGTTGATGACCAGGTTTGTTTACGAGAGATTGTCGGTGACTGACCTGACGTCAATCCAGATGAAATCAAAGGTCAAACGGAATTTGTGGTTGATTACTGTACAGTCGCTAGCCAAATCAAGAGAACATTCTCGTATCTACGGACTCCTTCGTGGTTGATAATTCTAGACTCTCGTCTCTTCTCTTTTTCCTTCTAAAAGCAGACCCCGCTTGGGCGTTCCGCTCCCGCATTGACCACTAAAATGGCCCGGCTAAGCGGGAGACAATACGTCATAAGCATTGACTCTCCAACCTCACGTCACCTAACAACTTTGGTTGGTTCTGACCAGGTTTTACAGTTTTGTCTAAGGTTGTCTTGTCGTGTGTTACTTGCTTATCGTTTAATTTACATTCACATAATCAATATCTCAAAATCACCTCAGTCTGTGGGTGATTTGATTACTACTGTTTGATAGCCTGCTTTTCCACTTTCGTAGGCGAGACACGTACTACTAATGACGGTCAACAACTTCAAACTGCTTACCCCCCATCAAACCTCACGGACGCACTCACATCAGCAAGCTATCATTATTTTTACCCCTTCTGATCAGCAATTCTGAACCAATCCTTGCCCTTACTACGTCTTCTACTGCGCTTACAGAAACACCTACCGTACTGTACCGTTATTGTACTGTACTACATACCTTAGGTACTGGGTCAACCACGTGTTGCACACAAATCTCCCCACCGCTTCTCCGTGACAGCCGGGTCTCGTCTTGGCTTGACTTGGATTTGGGCTTGGGCTTGGATTGTGCTTCCTCACTTTGCAGTCTCTCTTTCTGCCGTCTTTTCCTGGCAACCCTTATCGACCCCTACCATACCCATCCTAGCCCGCTGCAATCTGCAGTCTCACCCAAAAGCCATAATCCCATAGGCTGTTGTTGGTGTTCGCTGGCTAGGACCCCTCCCTTCTCCCCTCTTCGCATCTGATATGGAGACTGAATTCACCCCCTCTGAGTCACGACCAACCACTCCGGAACCTCCGGGCTATGTGAATCCTCTCGAGTCCAGCTCTAGATGGTACCTGATCGCTCGCGCCCAAGCTATTCGTTCTGCTGCCAGTCTGGGTTTCAGTATCGCTAATCGTACGGATCCTCCTGCACCCTCACCAACCAAGGACATCTGGCTCGATGCTACCCTGTCCAAGGCTGATCTTAGCCGCGCCGACCGCGCCAAGACTAAGATCAAGGCCGAAGTATGGATGCCGCCCCGTCCCGCACTCGGTGCCCGGGCTGCCGTCATAAACTTCCACGGAGGCGGATGGATTCTGGGTCAGGGCACCGACGATGCCCGTTGGGCCGGTGCTATCATGGCTAATCTCGACGCCGTTGTCTTTACTGTCAACTATCGTCTCGCGCCATCTTGCCCCTTCCCAACACCAATCGAGGATTGTGTGGATGCAGTTCTTCAAATCAAGCATCGTGCTGCGGAATTCGGCATAGACCCTGATCGTATCATCCTGTCGGGGTTTTCCGCTGGGGCCACAAATGCCCTGGCAAGTTGGCTCATACTCAACGACCCTGATCGATGGGGTTACAAGTTCCCTATAGAGCCTCCAAAGATTGCCGGCATCACTCTCTATTATCCGCTTCTGGACTGGACCATCTCGCGTCCGGAAAAACGGCTTACATGTTCGAAGCCGGAGTTTACCTTACCCAAGGGTCTAACAGATCTTATCGACGCTTCCTTCATCTACCCAATCATTCCTCGCGAGGAACGTTGCGATCCAAGACTATCCCCTGGGCTGATGCCTGATGAGTTGCTAAAGAAGCTTCCTCCTATTCACTTGGTCTTGTGCGAGTATGACATGCTCCTCGCTGAAGGTCTCAAGTTCTCGAATCGTCTCAAGGCTGCTAACAAGAAGTTCACATTGCGTATAGTCGAAGGAGAGAGACACGCATGGGATTGCCCACCCCCGATGTCACCCAAGGAGAGTGTTGCCATTGAGTATCAAGAAGCCGTGGAGACAATGGCCAGTTGGTTTGGACAAAAGTGCGAGACCGACACTGAATCCATGCGATCAATGAGACTGAAGCGGCCGGTTCTCAAGCGACCAAAGTACCTCTCCTTTAAAACCTGGTCTGGGAAGTAGTTGCCCCTAGTAGGGTTCTTGATTCTTGAGGGTTCGATTTTTATTTCTTTGCTGCACTTGGTTGTTTCCTTTTTCTTTCATCCTAGCGCGGCGCATGATGCGATTAATGAGACAAGACCTGGCAACATATGAGAAGCAGGGCATTGGTTGGACAAGATCGGTTTTGAGCGAAATAAAATGCTTCACATATACAGACATAAATAAAACAGATTTCCCGAGATAACGATCCAGGAACGGGTGGCAGTGCAAAAGCCAGCATCAGGCTCTTGGTTCTTGTCAAGATCATGATCCGGCTACTACCAAGCGTGTAAGCCAACTTAATCCAAGACAAGCATTCCCAGCCCTGTCAAAAAGAACAACCTTCGGTATTGCTGCTTTCGGTCGTTTCCACCCCAGGTGTAAATTAAGACTGGGAACCAGGTACTTCGAGCAACGGAAAAGGTACTTGACAATAGCGTCTGGTTTAAGGGTTCCATCTCCGGAAGCGTCGGAGTTCCCAGCATTGGCCAGGTCGTAAACATGTGGCATTTTCACAAGCCCACGCCAATTGGTTGATATACCTACACTTGAACTTAATCACAATAGTGAAAACATGCATCAAGGGACTCTCAGCTTAGACTAGCTTCGCCTTACAAACGTTGTGCGGGGATCCTTGGTCAGCTGCTTGTCTCTGCGTCTATATTCACGAATAGCGAGTCTCTGTGAGACGCATTGTGTTGTCGACTGAGCTTGTGACTGAGAGTCAAAACAGTGAAACATTCCGTCGGGGTTTTGTCAATACGCCGAGATTCTTTCGCGATCCAGAGGGCCCGAGGATCCCGGGGGAAATATATCGGACTCCGGCATCGCGTTTACCCATGACGGAATTATCAGGCGAGCATTTCACGTTCAAATAGATCACAAAATCACGATATTTGTAGCTTTTTAATCAGAATGCCAAGATTGAAAGAATTGTCATCAACTAACTAATTAGCTAACTTTAAGTACCTGGCCAGGATAAGCAGCATCCACCGCCGTCTCACTCAGCGCCATCATAAGCTTCAAATTCTTAAACGCCCGTCGCCACACTTTACTAGACCCCAAGATCGGCTTTTTAAGACTTTCCCATGCCGTCAAACAGACATAGCGTTCGGCCGTTGGGTGGTGTGCTCGGCTCCGAAGTGCCGATGTGGCTCAGGCGATCTGGGACGTGATCATGGCGATCTCTTGATGGTTATGACACAAAGTATAAGCCATATGGTGAAGGTCTGTGGCGGTTCTCAGAATTTGATGTGGCTTGACAATGAAGTATTGAAGTTATGTTTGCTTAATGCCAAGTCTTTGGAACGAGTCGTGTTTGAGGTGAAGTGTTGACCGTTGAGAAATTATGTCACTGACGGGGAGTTTATGGTTCACTCAAGAGTGACTGAGTATGAAATCCGACTCGATGGACCACTCAGGCCAGTTGAAAGCACATGATAAACTTAACAATTAGCCTGTATAATACACTCATCAGTTGGTCTAACTCCGCGTATTGGGTCTAGGGTAAGCATCATCAGAACAACAACCAAACATCGAATGTATGGTCATGCATGTATATTCGTTCTCGTTATTGTAATCTGAGACTGCAGTTATTACTATCGCAGTCTGTCTGACATATTCTGTAGGATAGCTTCTCGATGATGCAAGCTTTCTCATCAATCAAGCCGTTTTCTCCAACACGTAACATATTCGTCACCAGCTCTGTCCGAGTCGCAGGCTGATACGCTAACATTTCTCGTACATCATGAATTTCTTTACCACTTGGCCTCCTTGCTGTTGATAAATTCCTTGAGGATGGCGACGACCTTGGAGAAGGAAGCAAGATAAGCCTCGAGATCGACCTGGACCTTCTCAGGGTTGTCACCAAGCTTGGCGTAGAAGTCCTTTCGGTAGGGAACAGCGGACATGGCAGCGCTGAAGATGGGCTTGACCATGAAGCTGTGGTGAGGCTTCAGAGTGTTGCCATATGCGTCGCGGAAGGATTCGGAGAGCTCGACGGAGGGGTTTTGAACGTTGTGCTCGAGGCCCTGCTTGGTGAAGTCAAGACCACTGAAGTTGTTAGCTAATGGGAGGCATGCTCGGGAAGGATTGTTCGTACCGGACGAGCCAGAGGCAGCCCTCGGTGGCAGTGTGCTTGCCAGTCTTGAGCTCGTTACGGACAAGGTCCTGGACGGTAGCGGACTCGGCGGGAGCAGCGGCGTGGCGAGCACGGAGCTTCTGTAGGTAGCTGTCAGATTTATTCGACGGAAACAATACGTCGCGGATGCTGTCGCGCGATGAAAAGGGGTATGAGTGACGAACCTCGACGTTGCCAAGGATATCCTTCTTAACGGGACCGAAAGCAACACCACCAATGGCATCTGTAGGCATAGTTAGTCATTGACTTCTGAGCAAAACCTCAAGACAACGCCGTACCAAAGATGGTGGTCAGAGACTCAGAAGCCTCAAGGAACTCAACGGTAGAGACAGCATTGCCGTTGGCCTCATCGACAGGGACGTCGGCGAAGGTTCGCTTGAGCGACTGGACGATAGTACCACCGGGAGGATAGACAGCAGACATGATGATTGATGATGGAGAAGTGAATGGAGAAGAGGATGAGAAAGTGTTTGGCGGGAAGAGAAGAGTTAAAAACGATGAGGTGTTGTTGAACGTTGAAGCGGTCAAGCTGAGCTGTCCCTTTGCGGGTAGGTACCTTAGGTTTAGACAGGGAGCAATACAGGAGGGGTCTAGCTCAGGGGACCTAGTGAGGGGCTCGAGACGGTGAAGGAGGGGCATTCGTACAGTGTAGATAGATAAGATAAAGCTGGTGCGTGCAGCTGAAACAGGGGATAACAGAGCCAAGCAGTATTCTGAGATACCTCTGAAGGGTGTAGCGGGTTGAAGGTATTGATAGGGCTCCTATAGAGTCATCAAAGGATCACCCGTCATCCAAATAACACGGTTTTCATGAGACCTGCATCAAAGGGTCAAATGAAAACACTCACACTCCGCACTGTGTTTCGGGGCTCGATTTAGTTGTTCCGTCGAGACCGCCTCAAACCCCACAATGTCCCACGTTGATCAGGGCGGAGGATATAGACGAGAGGCTCAATTTATAGTACGACATGGTAAGACTCTCAGTCGAGACTAGAAAAGAAATGGTTCTATGAAGAAAGTATGTGAAATTAAAATACACCCTGAGTGTATGGGTCCGCTCTGAAATGAAATGCCTTTGAATCATCAAAGCCAGCTAAGTATCTGTCTTCTGTGGTGTTGTGTTGACTTTGGTAGCTGACGACGCATCTTACCTAGGTACCTACAAGGCAAGGGTGTTACCATGAACAAAATAACAGTGATTCATATCATGTGTACGTTATCATTAAACTATCAACGCCAAAACATTATCACATAAGTCATCCAATTACGTGTAAATAGACTCAGTCACAGAATTGACCTGCAATCCCCACTCCGCCATCTCAGCATCTTCAAGGAAGCGCAAGGGGAACCAAACCAAATGACCCTTGATTTGCGACAGCTTCTCTCTGGCGTCTTCGGGGGGCATGAACTGGTCGAAGATATGACCAGGTTTGACGCCGCGCGGAGGAAGATATCGATCATAATCATCGAAAGTCCTGATATGGTCATCTGGATCAGCGTGGAATAAGTGGCGGAATAGCTCGGTGTTCTTGTCTGCCTGGCTCGTCCACTTCTCCCAGAGTTCGTCGCTGAGAGGATCTTCAACAAACTTGTAGCTCTCATCTTGGTCGTAGATATCATTGTTGGGGTTGACGCTTGGGGGCATGGCGTTGATGTCCTGCGAAGCATCGTGGGGTTGGGGGGGTAAGAGACCCATGTGCTCACGCCAGAGATATCGACGGAGAGTTGCTGCGTGATAACCTGCTTCGAAGGGCTTTCCATCCATGGTACTGGGGATGAGGCGTGTGTCCTCCATGACAACACTGAGCTCACTGTCGTGGTCACCCAATTGACTTCGATCGTTAAGGTTACTGCTTCCGCAAATGGCAATTCTGTCATCGACCAGCAGCAATTTACCGTGGATGTAAAGCTCCTCCTGAATCCAGTTCTTGATCTCTGACTCAGGATCCTCCTCAAACCAAGACTCGCCCTTTAAGCCTTCGCCAGTACCAGCCATAGCATGGTGTGCAACAGAAGAAGTTGTGTGAACTTCCTCCTTGGGCATCGCAGCCTCAAACTTCTTTCGTGCCTCCATGGTTTTCTTAATATCCTCATCAAGCTCCTTCTGCTTTTTGTCGCCACGCATGTGTTCATCGCCCTCACTATCCTCAGGGTCATAAGAGCCGTGAATACCTTCACCCATGATCTCCTCAGCTTCTGCACGCTGCACCTGTTGGTAGCTGATACCAGTCTCCTTCTCAGCCTTGATGATAGCAGGAGTCTTGTTAAGACGATCGTAAGATCGCAAGTTGAAGAAGAAAATGTATTTCTCCGGGTCTACGCCCGCAGCGCGGCATTGCCCAAAGATAGAGTGCTCACCCCGGCAAATAGACTTGTACTGGTAATCCATAATAGCTCGCGTGCCCGTAGCAGCTTGCTCTCTGAGATCCCCAGCAAATCCAGGAATAGCAGGAATAAGCACGATGACGCGGAATTTGCGACCCTCTTTTGCGGCCCTCACAACGGCATCGACAATCGCGCGACCAATAGTATTCTTGATCGGAGCTTGTTGATCGCCTGTGGCAGTGATAAAGAACTGGTTCTCGATATAAACGTAGTGCTGGGCCTTGGAAATGATCTCAATATATGCGTTCTGAATGGAGTGGTCGGTCAAGATACCGCTGCTCCAGTCGGCGCTTGATCGGACGAGCTGGCAGTTGACTGTGCCCCTGTTCTCAAGATTTTTAGTGCTTAGAGGAGTATAAGGATGCTTAACGTATTCTCCGACAGGGTGCTTCGGACGTTGTACGCCAATTAGGTCCTCATCTTCATTCTCCCTGTTCTCCAACACCAACCAGTCGAATCTTTCGTCTCTCTTATATTTGTCACGTTTGACGAAATTCCATCGCAACACAAAATTCTCAGCTACATCATAAACCGTAGGGCCGTCAGGAACGTTAGAAATTGATGTCTTTGTCTTGAAGCTTGGTGTCTGATGCTAACTCACCTTGGATACACATTGCGACATCATGCCACGGCATACGACCATAATCTGCTTTGCTTAGCTCGTTATCTTGCCAAGAAGACACATTCTGGAAGTCCATGACTCTGTTATTATTAAAGTCTTGTCCTGGCCAGATTTCATCTTGAACGTTGGTAGGATGAATATCTGACAGAGGGTGTTGGTGATTATCCCATCGTCCGAAGCATAGATCTAGGCCTCCGACGAATGCTATTTCGTAGTCGATGACAATGAACTTCTCGTGATGTGCCCAGTACCATGTCATATCGCTATCGCGTCATCAGTAGATGTCTTGATGGGGGTATGTGGATGGGTCGCCAACTCCTGCGCCCTTTGTAAATACACTCACCCAAAGTTCTCAAAGACATTGTGATCGGGATGACGGCCAACATGGATATTTCCATAACCAGGAGAGCCCTTGGGGCAAAGCCTGTCAAAGTCAGCTTATGACGTACACAAGTCAACTGCTCAACCCACCTCCTCAGCGCATGCTTGGTATGAGCCGAGTTGCAAGTCAAGGCCTGCTCAACTTCCTTATAGACACAAACATAAATCTGGACACCCTCTTCTGCCTTTCTCTTGATCAATTTGTCCAGTCTGTATTCTTGCGCGGCGTATGGGGGTCGGCGGAGGAATAGCTCTGGTGACAGCCACCAGTCGGCGATGTAGATGGATTCTTTAGCTTGCTCGAGAGCAATGGACACAGCCCAGAAGTAATCTCGGCCATCTACATACCACTTGACGTGGTTGCCAGCGCGCATTGGGAAATAAGATTTGAAGCGGTTCTGCTCGGCGATGGAAGTTCGCTTGTCGTCACACCGCTGCTCATGTTCTTCATCATGTCTGTGGTTTTTGTTGAACTACGCATATGTAAGTTACTGTTTTCGTCTGCGTCTGTCTTGTCTCATTTCACGGCTCTGATGCGACGCAATGCAATACGACACCACCAACAGAACAGGGCGCGTCATACCAGATTTGCTAATTTACCAATCTTGTGCCTGGAGACTCGAAATCAGTGACGAGTCATTGTGATTGAGTACGAGTCACAAACTTTTGGTGGACGAGATGAACTTTTGCATCGTGTAAGCCATCGCTCAACTTGAGCTTGTCCAACATGGAACTCATTGAGCCAGAGCTCTCATGCTTCTTGTGATCCGCCATGATGGATGGCGCGAGTCACGGCAAGTTCACAGGGGTCGTCGAATGAGAAAGCAAAGCGCTCAGGTCACCTCAGGGTCTCTGCAGGAGATTATCGATCGATCGGGGCGGAAGAGGATGAGGGGTGAGATGAGGGGAAGTAAGCACGAAAGCAATCGGAGGGGCAGTCAGAAAGAAGAGAAGAGAAGAGAGGGAGAGAGAGAGAGAGAGGAAATGGAAGAAGCAGAATTACGAGGGTGACAATGCTTTTGGCAGTTTCTCAATGGTAATAGTAATGGCTTGCTTGTCACAGTCTTGGCTAAACTGGGCACGCGACAAAGCATCTGGCATGGCCTGGTCAAGCCTTTTTCCTTTGGTGAGACGAGGAGAACTTTTTGCAACTGGCGATGTCATCGACCAAGCAGAACCTTCACATCAAAGACAGCCTAGACAGGAAAACAGTGCCAAGCCGGCGAACACGGCGCGCAAATCTCTTGGGGGGCTTCTAACAATAGGCCCAGCTCGACTAGGGAGGGACCTACGAGGACGACAATTCAGGATAGCAGGGACTGTCACAGGCCGATGCCAAGATCGCGGCATCCGTCATGACCCGCACATACACGTAATGGTACGCACAGGGCTGAAAGGAGATGCACCAATTGACTTGTGTCATTTTCACTATGAAGCTTTTTGGTTTCCGTTCTAATGCCTTTGCCAATTGATCAAGCAGCGACAAGGAAAAGCTTGCTTTGTAACTCTAAAATAAGGAGGAAGGTCAAGCTTTTCCTACTACCTACCTATACAGGGCACATTAATTACCTAGCTGATCCCAGCAGCTATCAGAGCATATGACGTCAGAAGCTGTAGCTTTCATCCTGACCGTCCGTTACGAATTCCGTGATAATCGATCAGCCTTTGTTCCGTGTTTCAAGCTAATTTAATTAACCATTTCCCTGACTACTACCCTTGTCTTAAGGGACTCTCTAATTGGCATATCGCGTGGTTTCCCCGTAGTGCATTGACAGCTGCATCTCATATCTGCCAACATTTGAGCTATCCAGGTTTCAGAAGCTTAGCATCGGGTAGTTTGTCCCGAGCGAGATGTAGATCATTCACTTCATGTCTAACTGGTAGGTAGGTCAGGACTCAAGACGAGATGCTGCACAGAACACTCAATAATCGGCTTTTCGCAAGGAAAACTCGCCATTATTCTATATTCACATCCGAAGAGACCAATTTAAGGCATTGTATCCGGTATATCGTTGTGGCACACATTATTGTATAGGAAGCACTTGAATAAAGATGAAAAAAAAAAAAAAATGAAAAAACGACGACAAAAAGAAAACTACTGAAGATTAATATACACCAGGCTCTTCATTCATGCTTCTAATCGAAAACATCCGTAGCGAAACGCTCATTCCTACTCCTCTCAAACCAAGCCTGTGCCATTTCTTCAGTAACATCCTTGCCATTCTGCTGAGCCTTCTCGATGGCGAGACGGACACAAACATCCTCAACTGCTTTGCCAATTTCACGGCTTCCGCAGATGAATACCTTGGCTCCCTGATCCCACACCTTGAAGACATCCGCGCGGTCATGATAGACACGATCCTGTACATACTTGCATCCCTCAGACTTGTCAGTGGCCCGCGAATACGCACGTCGCACATCTACAGCACCCATCTTTTCCCAGCGTTCAAACTCCTCGGCGTATAGGTCATCGACCTCTGGGTTGCGACATCCGAAGAATAGAAGAGCTGGTGCGAGAGTTCGACCTGCGGCAAGCATAGCAGCACGTTCTTGGATGAAGCCGCGGAAGGGCGCCAGTCCAGTTCCAGCGGCGACACAGATGATGGGAGTCTTCTCGGCGTCACTGGGAAGGTGAAAGGCTTCGCTGGAGGCGCGGACTGAGACGTGGAGTTTGTCGCCAGCAGTGAGATGCGACAGGAAGTTTGTGGCGACACCGACATGGCGGCCTTGTCCAGAGAGCGAAGGGGCGTCGAGTAGGGAGTATGTGAGGGTGAGTTTGGAGGGGTCCGCAAAAGGTGAGGAAGAGATGGAGCTGTCTCGTTAGTATCGGTAGGCGGCGAGGAGGGAAGGGAGCTTACTATTGTCGGACTCTCATGGGAGGGAGCATGGCCAAGTAGGAGCTGATAGGGAGAGCTACAGCAGGAAACTTCTCAAGAAGATCCAAAACTGAAACTCTCTTTGGCGAGATCTCAGCTTGATAAGCATCCCCAGCAAGTCTCTCGAGTTCCTGGATGGTGGTCTTGTCTTCAGTCGCCTCAGCAAGAGCAAGGATGTTCTGCAAAGGTTAGTCAGTACTGGACAACAGTAATAAGATAACATACCCTCTTTGTAGCAGGCTGTGATAGTTCAACATATGCACTAAACACATCGAAAGCAGAAATGGCGACGTTGGTAGGCAGTGTAGTAGGTCCCTCTGACTGGATCTTCAGGAAAGAATCCCAGGCCAGAGAGAATCGCCGGAACAATCGCGCCACAGTCGACCTCGGGTTGAGGGGAAGGATAGCAAGATAATCGCCGGCCTTGTAGGTCATGGCTGAGGGAAGTTGAATCTCAATATGCTTCTTAGGGGGGCCTGACTTGGTGAGAGTCTTCTCGGCAACCACCAACGCTTCTTCGACATCTTGACGGAGACTCGTCTTTCGTGGCGTCGAAACCTCAACCAACAGGCCCTTCTGGCCGCCTGACTCATCATCGGAGATCTTGTATTTCTCCTTCAGCCCTGGCCAGAGGACAGTATCCTCCCAGGCTTCAAAATCGCTAAACATGTCACTTGTGGCAGCGTCTGCACTACCCATGGGAACGAGGCGAGTACCGCCACGCTTCTCAAGAGTAGAGTCAACAAGTTTGGGGATTCTGTGGAATGTCTCAACCCAATCGTGATGACCACACGCAAAAACAGCGAACGACACCTTTTCCATCTCGTTACCATCCAAATCCTCCATCCACTTAATGAAGTGGGCAGCGTTGGAAGGGGGTTGCCCTTCGTACGATGCAGTGACTATGACAACGGGGCGGTCTTCAGGAAGATTCTGCTTGGCCTGATCGAGAGGACCGACTGTTGTTGCGCTGAAGCCGCGGCTAGGAGCATCAGAGGCGAGTCTGTTGGCGAGAGCCTCGCAGGTACCACTGTTTGAACCGTAGAAAATAGCCATAGGCTTGCCTCTGCCGGCCTTGACATCTGAATTTGCGGCGGATCTAATATTGTGATTTGAAGAGCTGGTGCCTCCACTTCCTGCCAGAACATGCTCTAGCTCGGTTGGGGTCATGCCATGTCGTAGGGTAGCGTTGATGTAGAAGTGTGCGGGCTTGATAGTCAGCGTCTGCTGAATCTCCAAAGCGTAGTTGGGATCCGTCATGGTGAAGTTGAAGTTCTGGAAGAGAACGACCATGGCGAGAAGAGACTCTTGCCAGGCAAAAGGACGTCCAATACAGGCTCGCTTTCCGTTTCCAAAAGGCTTCCAGCAGTTGGGGTACTCCTTGTTAAGTCTCGCAAATTCATCATCAAGCATCCGCTCGGGTATGAACTTGTCAGCATCGTCACCATATACGGCAGGGTCAACGTGGGCCCGAGACAGAAGAGCAGTGACAACTTCACCCTTCTTGACGAGAAACTTGCCCCCGAGGAAGGTATCTTCGATGGCCTCGAGACCAAAGGCACTAATAGGAGAGTTGACTCGGAGGGTCTCTCTCAAAACAGCGCTTATGTAGGGGAGCTTGGTGAGATGCTCAACCAAGACGGGACCACGGCCAACAACTTGGTCGACTTCTTTCTGGACCTTGCTGTATACTTCGGGGTTCTTGAGAAGCTGATACATGGCGAAAGATAGGGTACCAGAAGTGGTTTCGTGGCCAGCGATAAGGAATGTGATGAGTTGGTTGGTAATGTTCTCGTCGGACAACTTCTCTCCCGTCTGAGGATCAACGCCGTTAAGCATAGCAGCGAGCAGATCCTTCCTATCGCTAGGGCTCGCCTTTCGTGCAGCGACAACTTCATCGGCTACTGACTTCATCAATGCAATGTCATTGTAGAACTTCTCGTTTGCTGCACGATAGAGAAAGTTGGGCGCAAATGGAGGCCGTCGGTTTCTGTTTCCGGACTCTGTAAGGAAATCGCCCATGGCTTCGATGAATGGGTGCAGTTCCTCTTTGTAATATGAGTTGAAGCGGAAATCCATGGCGCAGAGAGCCAGAGTGTCCAGGGCTGGTAATTGTTAGTGATGAGCATGTTAAAGACCCAATGCTTTGCGTACCTAGACGAGTAAAGTTGTCGCTCGCATCAATTGGTGTCCGAGGACCATGACGAGCAAACTTCATACACAATTGGGTAGCGATGTCGTGCATTTCTGGAAACATTCCTCTTATACTCAAAGGGCCAAAAGCCGGTACTAGAATTCTGTGAGCTTTCCCCCAATTGGGCTCATCCTCGAATGCTGTGAAGAGGCCATCGTGAACACCCTCTCGAACTTGCTGTCAAGGGTCAGTAAAGTTCAATTGCTGGTTTGGTTTCTCCTACTTACGCTGAGAGCAGACTTTAGTGTCTTCTTAAACCGCTTCTCGTCGCAAACCTCGTTGATCAATGAATTGGAAGAGACGAAAATGGGAGCCTTGGCTCCAAGACGTAATCTGAAAATGGGGCCTGAGGGGGGAATCAGCGGCGGTCAATGAGTTAGTTGGCTGTGGTCAATTAATTACCGTATGTATCTGCAAGACGGTTCAGGTCAGAGAGAGGATTAGATGTGAATTCTCCCAAGTTTCCAATTAGAGGGTAGCCAGGAGGCTCAGGAATAGGCACAGATTCAGCCATGCTGTATTTGCGTTGCGTTGTGCGGTGTCGCGTCTGGTGAGGTCTGGTGAGGAGAAGGTGGAGATGTCTTGAATGGGTCGTGGCTATTCGTTCTTATAAGATAGTTGAGTAACTAAAATGTGAACAATGTGATATGAGCCAAAGGAGAAGTCCGGATTCGACTTGGCGTTGCAGTGGTGGAAAGTTTCTT